CTGGGCAGGCAGACCTCTCACAGCCAGGCACACAACTACCTTTACTGTCTCAGCATCATTGCCAACTAAATGGTCTGCGTCTTTTTCACAGGCAGCGCTTTAGGCCAAATCTCTCCCATCTTGCACTTGTATGTTTTCTGAAAATTTGACTTACCCCAGTTAAAGTTCACTTTATTTGTTTTTGACTTTTGTTATAGTCTGCCTAAGTAATTTTGAGACATTTCTCTCATTTATTATTAAACTTTCCTATTTTGCACCTTCTGTAAAATTTTATAGGCATGTCTTCTAGAGTCTAGGTGCAAGCTGCTTACACATATGTTGAAATGGCCAGGGCTGAGGAGAAAGACCTGCAGCATAGCCTCAAGTGTTTGCTTCTAGGAGATACATAAATAAATACTCTTTGGGATGGGTACTCAATCAGCTTCAAATACAACCAACCTTACCGATAAAGTTATAAAGATAGTGACTTTGTTGAAAGTCTACTGAAATAAGAGTACAGCACTGCCCAGAGTTCTGTTTGAGCCATCAGTGATGTGCTCGATTATGGGCACAGTGCTACAGTGGGGCAGGGCAAACAGAGAAAACCCAGGACTTGGAATAAGGTATGACTCTTGGAGTAAAATGCACAATGGGCTGGGGGTGGGGTTGGGGGTCTTCGAACCCACTGCAAGTAATAATAGGAAGGATAGCCAGCCACTCGGCTCCTGGTGTCCATGTGGGCTTTGGCTTCCAGAGAGGGGGTGGGTGGGAAAGCATGTGGCACATGTGTGCAGGTGTCCGATGATCTCCTAATCTAAAACAGTTGTATGTGAGAGAGGGGTGCATTTTCCCAATTCTAGCAAAGAGGCTGTAAGGGCTAGTGACAGCACCATGAAAGATCACTTGGATGACAGTATGCAGCCAGAGGAAGGGGGGCTGAGTAGGAGACCTTAAAGGACAGCTTCAGGACATGAGGAGAGAGAATAGCAGAGTTGCAGGAAAGAGGGAGGAGTCAAAACATATGTCACAATACATGTTGCAGATCTGGTGAACCGTGCAATAAACGGGGCTCCTAGTGGGGACAGTTGTGGGCCTACAGATGATTGTCTTTGGGTCTGGTGGTGATCCTGGCCCAATCTGCTTGGTCAGAGCCACTTGGTCATATGACATGAAACATAGAAATCTCTGCAAGTGGAACAGCCTGCAGCCATTTTTCTAAGAAGCTAAGGATGTGACTGGCATCCATCAGTGAATTTCTCCCGTACATACTACTTCTGTAACCACAAGTACATTGAGTTGGTTCCTTTAAGAGAAATTACGTATAAGGTAGGATATGCCTGAGCCAAGTGGTTGCTCTAAAATCAGGAGTCAAGATGGATCTGCTGCTGAAGCTGTAATTAGGAGAATTTGAGCGATACAAGATGCTCTGCTACATGACCTCTGAAGGTCACTCCCATTTCCATAGTCATGCGACTCCGTGAAAAGCAACCAAATAAGGATAAATATATAGGATGCTTGAAATAGTAAATCTAATTCTACTGTAAGTCGGTCTATTTTGGTTTCTCAACTGTACCAATTCAGAATGTGCTTTGGGAACTGCATTTTTCTTCCTAATTGATTGGAATGAAGTAGATTATTCATGACCATTTTGGCTTTTCCTCCACCAACAAATAGCTCTCTTTCTTCTCTCTTAGAATGTGAAGAATAGCTCTAAATGTGACGTGGGAAAGGGAGATATTATTTTTGGCTTAAGGAGAACTAAAGTTTTGCCCCCTTCATGAAATCTGGTCTTCCCCACACTGACCGCCCTTTAGGTTCAGACTAGCTGCAGAGCGGAGACATTAAATTTCAGATTTGACCTTGAGCTGCAGGAGGAAGGAGAGGCCTTGCTGTCTGTCCTGTAAACAGAATAGCCTCAATTCTCCAAACCCAGCTGGAATCCTAGAGTTTGGAGGAGTAGAAAGAATCCTAGTGACTCACCAGTTCAATATTTCTCAAACTACAGTCTGAAGTGCATGAGATGCTCCAAAATAAAGGGTTCCTTGGTCACATAACTTACAGAAGCACTGCTTTCTGTGTCCTCCTCTTGTGACTTTGAGAGTCCCGAAGCAAAGAAACCTGTTATAGTTTGTTTGTCAAACTTATTTGATCACAAACCCCTTTTTTCCCCCCCAAGTAACACCCAACATCTTCTGGAAATGGCATGTGCCATGAAACGTACTTTAAAGAACACTGACTTACTCAATCTTTCCCTCATTTTGAGAGGAGGAAAATGAAGCCCATCTTAAGAGACCTGGAGACAATCATCTCCCACCATCAGCAGGACTGAGAACTAGAACATCACTTCCAGACAACTGGTCCAGGCTCTTTCCATCACCTGGAAAGAGGCATCATTAATGGTGCAGCCTTGATGTATCCCCTAGCACATTTCCATTGTCTGGCATTTGAGATTGTGTTTATTTATAGTGCACTCGGCAATGAATCCATCAGATACTTTGAATGTTTTAGAAAGGGCATTGGGCCCTGTATAGTTGACCTAAATAAAACGCTATTTTTTAAATGGCATGTAATTTACTATGTAGTGAAATATTTTCTCATGCTAGATAATCACATTCTAAGAGGTTATTACTTTTATATGCAAGAGTAAATCCTAGGGGTCAAATCTCACTAAAATATGTTACTAGTGCCCAGTGAGAAGTAACAATAGACACTTCTCTCATAATACAGAGAGCAATAGTTGGAGGGCCAAAATGATAAAAAATTGTCCAAAGACCACATAAATGTTTTTTCTAATAGTGTAAATTCAAGGAGTTTGAGCATGCTGACATTCTTCAGAAGCAACATTTTTCTGACTCATTCTCAATTCCAAGGCACTTTGAATCTATACGAATTTTAGCATTTCTTTAACCATTGAATTGTTTCTGAGACCTTAGTCCTGGGTACTTTGGAATCTTTGTCAAGAATTTTTTCTACCTAATACACTTAAGGTACAAAATATACACCTATCATCTGGGATATTTTAAATTGATTTCTAGCCTCTGAATATCAAGTTTCCAAAGCCAATACCGGCCCATGTGGTACCTTTTTATGAACCAGAAAAAAGTGCCCCTTCTGGGGACAGTCGCAGCCCTGCATGAGGGCACAAGGCCTGATGAGCAGAATGTAGGCTGGGTCCCAGCCCACCTGCCCCGCCAAAGGGAGGCCCTCATGCAAGTGAACAAGTCACACAATGAAAGGCAGGGGACCTGTCTGCTTCCCTCCCTCTCCTCCAGCCCTCAACCCCTGTAGGGCTGGACCAGTTCCCACCTGTAGACCCAGCCTTCATCCTGACCTGAATCAGGCTCTATATACAGACCTCGGGCCTCAGCTCACCTTGCTGACCCTATCACAGCACTCCAGGTCTGATACTGGGCCGCTGACCATGGTCTCTTTCTGATACCCTTGCTATTTTAACTGGGTTTGTACCTTGCAATGACCAGTTACCATTTCTAGGTTTCCAGCTCTGCTCAGGGTTGGGACACTATTATCCATGGACAAATCTCTTGGTGATGCCAGCCTTCCATCTAAAGTTCTGAACTCCCTTCCTTGTCCTGGATTCCATGATGCCAAGTCATCTATTCAGAAATCCTTCTATTCCATCTCACGAGACCACCCAGACTGGAGACCTCTCTTGCCATGATCCCTTAGGCGTGCGCTTTGTCCCCCAGAACAAGGCTACTTGCTTCTGAGTCATTTGCCAGAGACTCAGTTGCTGATCCTACTTCTGGGAACCAGCCCTTCGCCCACAGTCCCTCTGAATTCCCAGGCCCAACAGTCCAGCTTCAGCACAGATGCAGCCCAGTCTCCTGGGCCCTCCAGATCCACACGTACAAAAACAGTTGATACTCAGAGGGGTGACTGGAAGCACTGCAGATCTTGTAAGCAAGAAATAAGAATGTAGTTTAGGTCCACATTTTACTTATTAAGGTGGAAAGTAGAAGAAATACAGTTAGAAAGAATATCAACCACAAAGGTTGAAATAAAAAGACGCTTTAATGAAATTCTCACTTGCTTAGAAAATTAAGTCATAGAACCAAAAGCTTCAACAAGCCAAGGGCTGTGCCTCTTCCCTTCATCACAGTAAACCCAGTACCTAAGGGTACTCAGTTAATACTTGGTGCTCACTTAGTACTTGGTACTCAGTTAATACTTGGTGAATGAATGGAAACAAAGATCAATCTAAACACAGGATTTGATCAAGAAAGGTTTCATTAGTTTATATAGTCACTCATCATACATGTGATAGAACCTGGTTTTAGTCATTTTTTAGTTTATAATCTTTAATACATCAGAATAGGAGAGAATAATTAGTAAAAATAAACACAATAAACATAACAGGCATTAATGACACAAGTGGTTGATATCGTGGATCCAAATGGTAAATGTGAATGAAACATATGTGCCTGCGTATGAAATACTGACAAAATGATAAAGCATAAATGGACATATATTTTACTTTTGGCAGTGTTAAAGGGTTTTTCTATGACCGGGATACACATAGGACTAAAAATAATAATACTTTGTATTGCCAGAATACTTGACAATTTACAAAACGCTTGAACATATGTGATCATATTTGATCCCCACAAGAAGACAGAGGAACGTAGTTAAAGGAATTTAGATGCATCACTCTTTTTAAGAAAATATCTAGTCGCTTACGAAATATGACAGCTTTCAAAAAGATTTCTGGTCTATCACTAACAGCAACAATTCAACCGATAGCATAGAGAGAGATGGAAAAGATACTCTCTTAACAACAAAGGAAAATTGAAAGGAAGGAAGCTACAGTGGCAACTCATTTACTGTGATGAAGACAGACATATTATTCAACCTGAGGCAGTGATGGGATCCAATTCTCAGAGATAAGTCAACGAGATACTGGAAGTGAGTGATGAGACTCAAGCTTTGGAAGTCTAATTTCAGCTCACTGAAGAGGAATTATTACTATACTTACCGTTTATATTGCACTGTATTGATTGTAGGGCACTTCGAAGTAGCTGTGACTCTGGGAATCCAAGCGGATATTGGGACCAATTTAAGAGGCTCTGAGAGTGGCATCCTGGGGGACGCAAGCACCACGTGGGTTCTCAGCCAGCCCAGAGTCCCTCCTTATGGCATGTGCTTCTCGCTCCTGTTTCCTGACTTTCCAAGAGCGCTGTCACTGGATAGCCTGCTGGAGACTTTGGTGAGTTACTCTGGAAACCTACATAATATTTCTATTTAAACAGAAAAATCCATCTTTTAAATAAGGTGATACAGTTTTAAAGTACGTTTATTGTTTTCCTTCCTTTTACCTTTCTGTTTCATAAAAGTAATACAAGTCCCTTGTTAAAAATTTTTCAAACATTATAGAAATATGTAAACATGTTGCTTTGGTCTGCTTTTTGCTTATTAAGGTAGAAAGCACAAGGAATACAATTAGAAAATTTCACCTCCCTCCTTTCCCTAAGGTAACCTCTGTTAATAACTCAGTGTAAAGTCGAGCAGATCTTTTCTTCTATGCATACACTTAATTAGGCAGTAACTTTTAATGATCTCTGTACTATACTTTTGACAACCATCTTACATCAAGCAGTAGTGAGAAGAATGACCAATATGTGACCTTTATCAGATTTTTTAAAAGAATTCAAACTCATGCTTCAAACAGGGAGAAACTGAAGCTCCAAAGAAATATTTTTAAAATAGTTGGGGAAAAAAAAGCCCATCAGCGTTTGGAACTCACAAGAGCCAGAGCTACCCAAATTCTGGGAACTGCGATGCTTACAGGTTTCTAGCTGTTGAAATTTGAAATAGAATCTACACAGGGGCCAAAAGGTTGGAAATAAGAATGCGGTCAGATGCATCGCTGGTACAGACTTTCAGCTGACTAAAACAAACACCAAAATAGCAACAGTCTGTCTCAGATGGACTTGCTTTCCCAGAAGCCTCCTTTGCCTAGAAGACATTTCTATTGCATTTTCCTAAAAGGGAATCATGCTTACATTGAAACGATAGTCCTGCTCACATTGCATGGAGCGCCCAAGGTCCAGCTCTGTCTTGCAGATTTAGAACTAGCGCCCCTGGCTTGCAAAGACATTGTGCTCCAAATGTTTGCAAGTCACCTGTTTGGAGCTTGCGTCATGCGTTCCCATAGAAACCAGTCTAGGTGGGATTTGGGGGTTCCTAGAGCAGGCCCGTTAATCAGATTGCACCTGACATACCTAATTGTGTGCACCGAAGAGAGATGAGACCTTGGGTCACATTGTCTTTACAGAATGTTTTCTCTAAGCGTTCTAATTTGGGCTGCCTGGAATGTGGTTCTAATCTCAGGGACAGGGACTCTCTGTCCTTGTGACGTGCAGGTTTCCCAGGCTCTGGAATCACCAGCTCCCAGGACCTGGGACAGAGCAAGTCACAGGCGCCTGGGGCCGGTGAGGAATGGGGCTGTAATCAAGCTGGCCTTGGCCAACGAGCTCTCGGTTCCATCTCTCCAGGGTGGATCACCCATTGGTTTGCTTTAATTGCTCTTCTGCCTTCTGTATACCAGGAAAGTGGGCTTTCATGTAGGAAGGAGGAAAGCTGGCCTTTACTTTTGGGAGTTCGAAAGGGGACAGAGGTTTGTGAGCTACATCCTCAGGGATAAAAGCAGACAGGGTTTGTAGTTACTGTCTCAAAATGGAGACAGGCTCTAGAGTCTGGGATGCTGTGACATCTCCAGGTTTACAGACGTTTTATCTCTCCTCTGTTCCTTACAGTAAATAATAATATAATCCTTCAAATAAAAAGTTTCTGTGCTTTTTAGGGGGAGAGCAAAGACGAGGAGCATCAAGGAGACCACACTCTTTTTCTCTAAGCAGTCTCGGGAGAACAGAATTCCAAGCGTTAAAGTGGATGGTGTGGATTTTAGAGGTGTAAACTGTGAGAGCAAGGCAGGGAGAAGACCTTCCTCAAGTGGAACCACCAGCATCAGCACCACCTGGGAACTGGTTAGAGGTGCCAGTTCTCAGGCCCCACCTTAGCCCTGCTGAACCAAACACTCCGGGATGGGGGCCCAGCAACGTGTTCATAAGCCCTTCCAGGTAATTCCAATGATCAAGTCTGAGCTTGAGGACCTCTGGGCAGTGAATGAGGCCTTGAAAGAGCTGCTCTTAAATCCTGGCTCTGCCACTTGAGATGTATGTGAGTTCTGTAACGGTGGGCCCTCCAGGACCAGTTCAACCAACCCCGGCTGATCAACAGAGTAATTAAGAGTTGTCTTTCAGGAACCGAGACCCCTTGTCCAGTTCAGGCCTGCTGAGACCACCAACCCATCAACTGGGCCTGTGCAAGTGCTGGGTAAGTGATCTTTTTGACGTCAAGAAGCTAAAAACTCTACCCTCAGATCATGGTAAGGCCGCCATTTTGTGAACACGGGTCCTATGAAGAGGGATGAAGCTTGACTAGGCTTGTGCACATCATCAATGGCCTCACTTCTCTTTACTCCCAATCCTCTGTCTCCACACTTCAGACTGCCCTGCCCTTCATCCCGTAAATTGTCCCCCAAGCCCTGGATCTGGGAGACAGATCTGAGGGCACATGCCCGCTGTCTCCTTGCAGATCGATATCAAAAAATAAAGCTACATTTCTTTTCCCAAAAGCTGATGCTGTTATAATTGGCTTTTTTAACGTGCCTTGGGCAAGAGAACCCCAATTTTGTGCCATAACAAGTTAAGAAAGTTACTCTTTCTGAGTTTATGGAGAAGATTAAGTGAGATAATATATTCAAAGCATTTAGCACAATGCCAGACATACAGAAAGCACTCCATAAATGTTGGCTGCTGTGGTCATCATTACCTATGAAGGGAAGGAAAAAGGACAAGTCCTAAAGACCCTCAACAAATGAGCACAGCATGTACCAGTTTGAAGGGCCCTTGCAGAATCTGGCATTGGGCTTCCAAGGAATCCAAAGTTTACATGAATTCTGCGTGATTTCATCCACACAGAAATTTGAACAGAGCTGTAGTTCTCAACCTGGCTGATCATCAGAACCCCCATGGAGCTTTTAAACTGCCCTGCCTGGACTCCCAGAGCCATCATCTTCAGTCATAGGCCCTGGGCATCTATAATTTTTTACATCTCCGTGGGCAAATGATGCAAAACAACTCCTGGAATCACAGAGGATAAAAGGTAGAGCCAACGTGTACTGAGTATTTATTCGTGCCAGGCACTATGCTAAGTTCTTTGTTTACATTGCTTCATTTAATTCTCACAACAACCCTAGGATGTAGGTACTATCAGCTTCTTTTTTTATAGAGGAGGAAACTGAAGCATAGAGATCCTAAATAACCAAACCAAGTTCACTTAGCGGAGAAGTGGTTTACGACCTGAGCCCAGCTTCTAGCTATTAATTGCATTTAACTGATGCAAAAACGGATGCGTTCATTTCCTCATTGACCAGCATTGATTTATTCTGCACGACCCAGTAATACGCTGAGAGCCAGGGAATATAAAAATGGATAAAGATCTCCATCTCCATCCTCAAGAAATTCATGGCTTTTTTTTGTTGATGTTCAGAATGAACAAATGGCAGACAGATTGCCTCATTTTAAAAGACGATGTCATGTGTCTGTGTTTGGGAGGCTGAAAAGATTTTCTATGACTACCAGCCTCCTCCTTTGAATGGCCATTTGCAGAAGCCACCACCGTTTGCAAATCAGCCTCCCAGCCGGAAGAGCAGGCCTGTCTGCTGGCCACCAGCGCTTCCCCGCAGGAACTGCTCCAGGCAGCCTTGAAGCCCTGTGTGGGCGACCTCTTAGCGTGCTCCTCGGGTCTCCCCGCTGCGGTTGTGTTATCCACTTCAGTTCAGCATGCTAGCCATCCACTCCCCTCGGTAGGCCGATCAATCAAACCGTGGGGAAGGAGGCGCATCACCGCAGAGCTGGTAGGCTGGCCTTCTTCCAGGGATAAAACCTGTTACTTACACCCCAACTGACGACTGTTAGGCAATTTCCCAGCAAAGTACAGAGAAAAGACTGAGGCTTGCCTTTTAGAATCGTGAAATGTTAGCGCTGGCCAAACCCTTGGACATGGTGTAAGACTGATTAGAAAACCGAGCCCCAGGGTCTCAGACCCGCTGGGACTGGGCTCCTGGCGCGATGTGCGACCCCTCACTGCCTCCTAGAGACAGGGCTGAGCATTGTTTCAAATAGACGCAGTATTCAAAAGCAGCGATCATCACCTTGGAGCAGGAAAAGGATCTCCCAGGGAGACGTCCTCTGCCGCAGGGCTGGGCTGGGAACGCAGCGTGCAGCCACCACACTTTCCCCGCCCGACGGCTAGGGAGGAGAGTGGGTCTTGGAGATCCGGCCATTCTCCGGACCCGTGTTCAGGATGCACGGGGTAGGCGGCAGCGGAACCTTTCTTCTCTGCCCCGCTCTCGCTTCCGCCCGGGCCCAGTGGGCGCCGGACGCAGCCGCGGAGGCATGTAAACATGGAGGCGGCGGGTGCTGGGAGTGGGGAGCCGGCCCCGCGCCTAGAGGCTCCGGGGTCCGCCGAGGACCGGCTTTTCCTGGTGAAAGGTGTGGTGAGGCGCGGCTGTCAGGGCGAGCCCGCCCGGGGCCCTCGCCTGCACTGGAGGGGCATTCTCCCGCGCTAGGCGCTGGGAGCCCTGGGCGTGGGTGGGCCCTGGGGTGAGCCGGGGGTCGGGCGGCCAGGGGTGGGGTCTCCCATGGGCTGGGCTGGGCCAGCGAGCTGTTCCGAGTGGGCTGCGTTTCCCCCAGCCCCTCTGCTGTCCCTTCTCTAGCTCCCACGGTGTCTTTCCTCTCCGGGGAAGAGGTGCAGGGACCCCGCGCCCCCTTCTCTACTCTTGGGAACCATTCCTCAGAATGATCTCAGGTGCCAGAGGTCGTGAGGTCACGCGGGGTTCACAGCCGCTCTCATTTACCCTTGGCAAGAGCTGCTTAGCTATCGTTTCTGGGATTTCAGAAGTGCTTAAAATGTAATTTAAATCGTATCTGAAACTTAACTTGTATGCATCTTTTTAACTTCAGCCTTTGTTTGTTTTTCTTTAATCTCTCCCCCCGCCCCCCACCCCTAAAACTCTTGGCAGGTGGAATTTTCCTTGGTACTGTTGCTGCAGCTGGAATGCTGGCTGGATTTGTAACAACGTTGTCATTGGCTAAAAAGAAAAGCCCTGAATGGTTCAATAAGGTTTGTGCCGCTGAAATCCACTCATAGCATTGTTATTGTTTACCAACCAATGGCAGCTCCTTTGCAAAGGGAAAGTAAAGAAAATGTTGGTGCCCTTTCATATTAGTTTTTTTGTTTTTCTTTTGCTGGGGAAGATTCTCCTGAGCTAACATCTGTGCCAGTCGTCCTCTATTTTGTATGTGGGTCACCGCCACAGCTTGGCTTGCTGAGCCGTGTGGGTGGGCGCCTGGGATCTGAACCTGCAAATCTGGGCCACTGAAGCAGAGCCTGTGAAACTTTTAACCACTGGGCCACAGAGCCAACCCCTTTCAGATTGTTTTAATAAGTAAACCTATCTTCACCTCAGATTCAAGATGTGTGCAAATTAATCAATGGTCTTTATTTTCTTTTAAAAAGAAGTACTTAATTATGCGCTTTCTTAAATGTTAACAGAACAAGACTTTGAAAGCTCATCCAGTACATTTCCTCTTCACACTGTGACTTTAAATCTAGGCAATTCACTCTCAGTTGTAAGAGGCCCCAATATTTTATGTCACTAAGAAAAAGTGATGCCAATTAAATTCTTGACACAACACTGATTGCAAGAGGCATTTCTGTCTCAGAGATGTTAAAATGTTGAAATAAAGTGTGTCTTAGTATTGATGAAAAGCATAGGTCAGCTCCTTGAACCTGGAGACCATATGTTGCTTGTGCATTGCTGCAGCCTGCTTCCTGGAAAAGTGCCTGGCAGCATAGTAGGTGCTCAGTAAATTTGGCTTGAATGACTACAACCTACTTAAGGCAGGAAATCCTTACTTCATGTGCAAGATTGGGCAATCACTCCATTGTGTTCACGTGTACCTCATTTCCCGAGTTGATGGGAAATTTCCTTCACATTTACTTGTATTTACCTGTTCTTATGTATTGTCCTGTTTCTGTCCTCTTGCCTCATATGACTTATTTATCCATTACTTCGTTGCTTCAACAAATGTTAACTCAGCATCTTTTATACGTCAGGCACTGTACTAGGCAGGTGCAAGAGATACAAAAATGGGTAAAACATATCTGTGCCTTGAGAAGCTAGCATCTGGTGCAGGAGACAGATATTAAACAAGTATTTACACAAATAACTATATAATTACTATTTGATGTTTGCTTTGGGAGAACAGTGTTATGTGAAAAATAAACCAGTTGAATTCCCTTTCCACTTATATTTGTGTTTATTAATCTAATCACACTTAAGCCTTATGAACACCGTCATGGAAAGAGACCACATTTAGAGTGCGTTTGGATCCCCCCCAAATACTCAGGGCTTATATGGAGGTTACAAGCACACTGCTATGAACCTCATGGTCATTTCCCCTCTATATTAGAGAATGTTTTCAGAGCAGCAATATACCCTGTGGCAGAAATCAGTAAAACCTGCCTGACAGTGGTGCTTTAACAGTGGAAATTTGGTTGATTTCTAAGCCTAAAGTACTGTGTTAACCTTTGAATCACAGATCTTTTTGAGAATCTCATGAAAGTGAGGGATTATCTCTAAAAAAAAAAAGCACATGTACTATTCACAACTTTGCATTCTATTTTATGGACCTGAGATTTGATTATCGCACGTGCCCTTTATACTCTAACACAGTGGCTTTCAAACTGTAGTCCACAGAACCCTGGGTCTCCTTGAGACCCTTTGGGGGATCTGTAAAGTCAAAACTATTTTCATCATAGTACTGAGATGTTTGCACTGACGGTACAGAAGCATGAGGGGTAAAACTGGTGGGGCCTTGGTGTAATCAAGGCAGCGGCACCAGACTATCCTAGCAGTGATTGGCTAACGCCATCATTGATAAGAATGTCCTTGAAGCACTAAAATTATTAATTTTATTAAATCTTGTCCCTTGAATATACCTCTCGAATATTCTGTGTGAAGAAATGGAAAGTACACATAAAGCATTTCTGCTCTATACCAAAACAAGATATGTTCCTCGAGGAAGAGCAATTATGTGATTGAGTTGCATGGTGCACTAGCCATTTTTTTTTCATGGAATATTATTTTTACTTGAAAGAATAACTGACAAACTATAGTTATGCCGAAGTGGGTATTTGGCAGACATTTTCTTCAAAATGAACAAAATGAGCCTGTTTCTGCAAGCAAGCAATTGTCAGTATTTGTTGCCAATGATAAAATTTGAGCTTTCAAGAGAAAACTAGATTTTAGAAATCTTGTATCTGCCCTTGTGAGCTTGACAGCTGCTCAGTACTCACAAGCTTTTCTGATGAGATTGGATTGATATTAATGATGTGATTCTTTGATAATTAATAAATGGTGTCAATGTTTGAAATATCTGTATGACTTCATAAATGTTTTCTGAACGATCATGATGCATGGATAAAAGTTCTATTCAAAGTGCGAAATAGACTAGTGGATTTTAATGTAAGAAAGTACAAAAAATTCATTGATACAACTTCAGATTCCATATTGCAGCTAACGTTTAAGAAGCTGTTTGTTGGGGCCAGCCCCATGGCTGAGTGGTTGGGTTCTCGTGCTCCGCTTCGGCAGCCCAGGGTTTCACTGGTTTGGATCCTGGGCGCAGACATGGCACCACTCATTAGACCATGCTGAGGCGGTATCCCACATGCCACAACTAGAAAGACCTACAACTGGAATATACAACTATGTACTGGGGGGCTTCGGGGAGAAGAAGAAGAAGAAATTTGAAAAAAGACTCACAACAGATGTTAGCTCAGTTGCCAATCTTAAAAAAAAAAAAAGGCTGTCAAGTTTTGGTGTAACATCAAAGAAGGAAGGCTAGGGGCTGGCCCCGTGTGGTAGCAGTTAAGTTTGCTCACTCATTAAGTTTGGCGGCCCGGGGTTCACTGGTTTGGATCCCGGGCGCAGACCTGTGCATTGCTTACTAAGTCATGTTGTGGCAGGCGTCCCTCACATAAAGTAGAAGAAGATGGGTATGGATGTTAGCTCAGGGCCAGTCTTCCTCAGCAAAAAGAGGAGGATTGGCGGCAGATGTTAGCTCAGGGCTAATCTTCCTCAAAAAAAACCTGAGGCACAGATGGATTAAGCAACTTGCTCATCCTGGTACTCTCTCCATCATTGATTACTTCTAGGGTATAAATAATACTATTTTTAGCAATTTGTTGTTTAAGTAGATTTCTGTCCACCAGCCTGGGACTGTAGGTTTTAATTATAATACAGATTCAGATTGCAACCCAGAAGGACTTTAAAATGATCAGCATTTAGTTGGGGACTGCCTACACTGCTGTTATTCAGGAGGATGATCATTATGCCTTAAATGTCTTATTTTAATTGTGTTAGCTGAATCTCATGCTAGAAAACTGGGAGTAGAAAGGCAATAGTAAGTGCTGAATGAACGTTCATTTTTCTTTGTCCTTTGAATAAACAGAGGAAGATGCAAGCTCAGGTGACTTTTAAAAATATATGTACAGATATAATACATATATAATTTCTTTCCTTCCCAGGGAAATCAGGAATTTTTCATTTAAGTTTCTAAAATAAAATTTAGGCCAAAGCACTTAAATGAACCTTAGTTTAATAATATTTGGTTAATGGTACTGCTTCTGGGTGAAAATTCAGGCCAATTAGAAGTGAGTGCGTTTATGTAAGATCTCTGGTACCTAGGGAACCACTCAGAAATTATAGCAGCATGAGAAAAGGAGTAAGATAAGAGTATACTGTTTTAATCATAGAAAAAGCTAAAGAAAATTCTCTTAAAAATCTCGTTGGGACTAAGGTATATCTACAAAAAGTGTAAGTCAACAAATACTGAGTGTCTGCTAGGTCTCGGCATGGCGGTGGGCATGGGGATACAGATAAACAGATGTTTCTGTGTGCCCCCAATAATATTCACAATCACAAATCCACACGTTAAAAAAATATATTAAATGAGTTGTCATATAATGAAAATTATTCTAAAAAAGAAAAGACTTGAGTAAATTGAAATATATTTCCAGGTGGAAAACAGAACGTTATAAATTTGCTATCACTGGGTTAGCTATGTCATTCTAATGAAAATGCCAGTGAATGAAGGTTGGAGAAATCTTGACAGAATGTTCTCAGATTTTTCTGGAAGAATTAATAGGCAAAAACAGCAAAGACAACTTTGAAAAAAAATAATGAGTATGAGGTACTTTCTGGATATGAAGACGTTATGATTCTATAATTAAATCTGTGTGATTCTGGCATAAAGAGTAGATAGTAAATTAGTATAAAAATAGCTTAGAAACCTCTCTCTATGTAAGTTTCTCAGATAAATTGGGGGGGGCACTAATCGAGGGGGTGCTGGGGCAGGCGCTAAGCTGTCTGGGAGGTCACTCCCTTTAGTCATCAGCTCCCATCAAAACCAAAATAATACCAGATGACCTAAAAACGTTAGGGTGAGAAGAAGAGACAAATTTTTAAAACACAGCTAAAGGAAAGAGAAATGACTATGACTTTGGACAGCATTGGAATGCATCTTTGACCAAAAACAAACAAAAAAAGGCAAGATAAAAAAAATTAAAAGTAAACCAAACTGGGGAAGTTTGATAACACATTTGATAGCTATAAGAGCTAAAGAACATATATAACAAGAATATACAAATAAGAAAACTTTATATTGGCGAATAACATGAGTATACAATTCAAAAGGCGTAAACATTTAGCTCATACTAACTTGAGAAAATGTTCATTCTCACTAACAAGAGAAGCCTAAGTTATAAATAGTTTTATATAAATTTCAAAGCTTTCCTTTTGGTTGGTTTTGTGTATTTGCTTTTTTTTTTTAACCGAGACCGTCTAATAATACTGGCTAACCTGAAATAGTCCTCAAGAAACATCTCTGTAACTTAGCACAGCCTTTTGAACAAACGCTTGGGAGTATGTATCAGTTTATAACATGTTCTTTCTTCTCCACTCAGTAATTCCACTTTGAGGAGTTTTTCCTGAGAATTCAGTCGGAAATGCAGATAACTGTTAGGCACAAAGAATGTTCTAATGTAGAAAATGTTGAAACTAGTATACGTTGGCTAGTAAAAACAAATGGCTACGTAAATTATGATAAATCACTTCAGTGTAACCAGTAAACAATGTTTTGAGTTCTTCACTTTATAAGAGGATGCATGTTGAAAATTTAAAAGTTTTAAATGGTGTTAAACTTTTTAAAACGTCCACAAGCAATGAAAAGGGAGAGAATATGTCAAAATGTTTACCGTGGTTGACTGTGTAATAAAAGTGAGGGTTTTTTTGGTTCATCCTTACACTGTTTCATACATATCAAATTTTCCAGTGATTTATAATCAGAAAAAAAAATGTGATTCAGCCTTTGAGGAAGTTAAGTTCTTTATTGTTTCTGAGCATTTTTGTTTTGTCGATGTTTAGTGTGTTTTAGCAGAGGGGCTCACCAGGACAAATAATAAATTCCTCATATTTTATAAATTCTACAGGTTCTTTAAAAAAAAAGATAAATTACATTTCATATTCAGGTGAAACTATGGAAATTAAATGAATGTCCCATAATTGGTTATCTGGTAAGGTTAAAATTTCACGTAGGCCCTTAAGTATTGTCACTTCTTTCTCTGCTTCCAGTAGGGTATATATTTGAATTATCCCAAATAATGATGGTTTGTATTCTCATTTACACCATGGATTCATTTCCATTGAAAAAGATGCTTTCATTTACATTTTGTATTGTGCTGTATTTATAATCATATGTGGTAAAGGACTGAATGGCGACTTCCCCTTAGTTGTCAAGCCAGACTGCTGAAGTACTCTGGCTTTTACGAGCTGCTGCAACTCCTTGAGCAAGGTGCTTCATCTCTCTCTGCATTCGTTTCGTCATTAGTAAAATGAAGATAATAACAGTCCCTGTGTCACAGGGTGAGGTCAGATGGATTAATACATGGAAAATGCTTGGACAGTGCTTGTCATATGGGAAGGGAGCAGTAGATTATAATAAATTATTAACTATGCTAGAGTACTTGGAAATGTAGGGTCTCTGGAAGATCGTAGTCCTGCAGTCTCACTTGAAGATTAACCTGTTTAGGGGCCAGCCTGGTGGTGTAGTGGTTAAGTTCGTGTGCTCTACTTTGGCAGCCTGGGGTTCGCAGGTTCAGATCCTGGGCGCAGACCTAGTACCGCCTATCAAGCCACGCTGAGTCAGCGTCCCACATAACAGAGGAAGATTGGCACAGATGTTAGCTCAGTGACAATCTTCCTCAAGCAAAAAGAGGAAGACTGGCAACAGATGTTAGCTCAGGGCCAATCTTCCTCACATGCACAAAAAAGATTAATCTATTTAAAAATAAGATTAGTGGTCACGTAACAGTGTAATAAGGAAGTCTTTGGCTTTAGTCCTTATGATCAGTCTAAGTTAATCCTTATGTCACCAGTAAATAGAAACATGTAGAGTATGAATCCCACTTGTGCAGTTTTATTCATAAAACAATAAAAATATCACGACATCCATAAAATATCACCAGACTTAAAGAAAAATTTATTTAACTCCCTGCATGCTGGTCAGACCTTTACTATTTTGTCGTCTTTGTTATTATGAGCTCCTTCTAATCCACCTTAGTGGATGCTAACCCTAGATACTGCCCTCTGAGGAGTGTCTGGCCGGAGTTATGGAGGAGTCTCTCTTTATTTTCCACTTCCTACCAGCTTACTGCCAAGTTAAAGTTTAATTTACCAAATCATAGAATTGGAAGAGACTTGAGGACTCTAGTACACCATTCCTCCCAGTGTCTTTATCTTTTTACAGCCTCTCCCCGCCCCCCCCCCAGCTCAGTGCTCTCAGTGATGGTGGGTGTTCCTTTCTGAAGCATGCACTGCATTCTTATTCTTCTCTAGTCAAATTCGTGTGTGGATGGTCTGAAAGTTGTTCACTTATTACAGTTGTAGATTTTTACCTTAATATTGTGCCTTGAAACTCAGGAGGAGGGTCGCTGTTTATTTTCTAGTTTCTCATTAATAGCTACCATAAGCTGAATTTCTACTATGTGCCAGATATTTTGCAAATATATTGAAAAATCCTCACAATGACTTATATCACATCTTTTCTCAAATTTAGATTTAGCCCACCTCTTCCAGGACCCCCTCCTTGAAGCTTCCCTTTCCTGCAGCAGTAGATTAGGTGTCCTTCTCTGGGCCCATAAGGCCCCGTATGGATAGTTCTGTTGTTGCACTCCCCTTTAAATCACAGTTAACTTTTCCGTGTCTGTGTCTCCGCCCCAGACTGAAGTCTACTGTCAGAGAGAAGTTGCTGTTTCCCTTTGTCTCTCCAGCACCTCGCAGAGCTCCCGGCCCAGCGTCTGGCGGACTCCAGTGTCTGTCAGTCAGAGAAGGCGGGACTTAAGTTATGCAGTTATTAAGTAGCAAAGTTGGCACTTGAACTTGGGTTGGTCTGGCTTCCCAATATTTTGGTGCTTACACAGAGTCGTTAATTTCAAGTACTTCCCAGATATTTATTCTTTCCAAACTGATGGTTTTCCCCCAAACCTTCCTGTCTTCATTACAGGGAAGCGTGGCCACGGCCGCCTTACCGGAGAGTGGCTCTTCCCTTGCCTTGCGAGCCCTGGGCTGGGGCTCCCTTTACGCGTGGTGTGGGGTTGGCGTGATCAGCTTCGCAGTCTGGAAAGCCTTAGGAGTTCACAGTGTGAGTAACTGCAGTCCTGTCATGGGTGTCTGGAATGTTCGTTCTACTGTATGGTCTAAATCTTCCTGACTTTCACGTTTGCATATGGTTTGTTCACTGTCTTGGGAAGTGATGACAAAGAATGTGACTAAATGCCTAGTAATAACTAGGTTACTTCTTATTACTAGTAAATCATATAAATAACTGAAAAATTTCAAATATTAAATAATGACTAACTCATAGCAAATGTTTGTTCTATATAAATTGGTGTTAACTACTTGTTGAGTAAAATTACTTAATTTGGAACAACCGTCTGTGCTGTTTGACATCCATGTATATAAACGTCTTTGTAAAATAGGTAAGCATTTTAAAATTATTATTTAAATTTTTAATGTGTTTACATATTACTGGGAAAAAAATCCTAAAAGCCTACATATGTGTGTTTGTGTACATAATTTATACCCCAAGCTAAAAAGCTACACATTTGGAATGATTGGCTGCTGCTTTTTTAAACTACTGGTAGAAAGTTCGATGGACCAGGCTCTTCGTGACAGGTGAGAATTGATTGTGGTTTGGAATAGCTGGCCGCAGTGGAGTTGATGAAAGGAGGTTCTGGATTTGTTTTGAAAGTGAAGTCAACAAGGATTTGTCATAGATTGGATGCAAGAGGTGAGAGAAAAAGTCAAAGATCCCCACGGCTTTTGACCTGAGCAGCTAGAAGATGGGTAGGGACCAGCATGAGAGGAGCAGGTATCAGGATAATGTCAGACATTCAGTCTGGGACTTGTGAGTTTGAGATATCTGTTAGATGGCCACACAGAGAGTCAAATAAGCAGTTAGACGTAGAAGATTTGAATTCAGGGTATAAGGTAAAGATATGAATTTGAGATTCGCCAGTATATAGAGAGTATTTAAACCAGGAGACTAGAGGAGCTCACCAGAGCAATGAACGGAGAGAGAAAAGAGGTCCAAGGAAGGCGCTTTTAGGCACTCCTAAGGTTGAGAAGTTGGGGAATGAGGAGAAAGTAGCAAAGGAGATTTCCCTACCGAAGAGGGAGGTAGTGACTTGGATGCCAGGGGAAGAAAAAGTTTCAAGGACATGTGTGCTGGGGCTAGGTCACGTAAGATAAGAACGGACAGTTCACTGAGTAGCAATGTTGTGGTCATTGGTGGGAAAAGCCTGAGTGGAGTGGATGCAAAAGAGAACGGAGGAGAGAGGTTGGAGGCACTACGTATGGGCAAGCCTTGCATTTTGCTGAAAAGGGAAAGAAAGGAATGGGCTCATAGCTAGAAGATGGGATGGGGTCAGAGAGCTCTTTTTCTTAAGTTGGGAGAATACACAGCGTGTGCGAATGCTGATGGGAGTGATTCAGTAGAGGGGGAAATTGAGGGTGGGGGAGTAACAGGTGTTATTATTATTGCCAGTATTGCTATAGGCATTACGGAGTTTTTCACATTGGGTTTAATTATAGCTAAACATCGGCATTGTACTTTTCATCAAAATATACTGATAGACAAATAGATACTGCTTTTCTGCTAGTCTGACTAACCTTTATTTTTAAAGTAACTTTGCTGATTTGTCGTTGTTTATAACGATAAAGTAGAGATTACTTGGAGAAGTTAGAAAACTCATGACTGGAGGTTTTAGATGATTTTTGTTGTTACCTCAATTTTGCTTTTAATCAGTATAAAATCTCTTCTTCCATTTCAGGCGTTATACCAGGCATTTTAGACATAGCAGATTACTCAGTCTTCACGATAACTGTGACGCAGATATTATTCTCCCCATCTTAGAAAACTGGGACCTAGAGAGGTTGAGTCACTTGCCTAAGGTCACACAGCTTGTAATTGGTAGAGTCAAGATTAAACCCAATCTGGTCGTCTTCGGAACCTTTTCCAACATTACCTCCCTTAGCTAAGATGGAAAAGAAAGGAGTATGTGGAGGGGGCAGGGTGAGGGCAAGGAAGTAGTGAATCTGGTTTTGATTGTGATGCAGTCCACAGGGTTCCTGAAAACTTGACAGGTTTTACTGGGTATCTTCAGTGTGGGCCTCATCTCCCAACCTCTTAATTTTCTCATAAAAGAGAGGACCTCCTTTTAGCTTTCATTAGTAGGAAAATGCTTAGGATGTAATGGTAAATGAAAAGCAGGATTCATATCTGTATTAATAGGAGAGCAGTTATTTGAAAACAAGTGAAAAAAACTGGGAGGAAATGTGTCTGGTAGAAATATGTGAATGAATTATGGGTGTGTGGGTGAATTTTTTACTTTTCTATGTTTCTTAAATATATATTGCTTTAATAATAATACTACTTTTTAAAAAATAGTCCTAGATTTTATGCTGAAAATGAAGCTCAGCTGCCTGGGAGTTCACAAAACTTCCTTGACTGCATATGAAACCCATGTGGGGGGCATGAAATACATAATAGTGAAATTATTAAGCTTTTAGTTCCTATAAAAATGACGGTCTGTTAGCACTTTACATTGACTGCATGGAATTGATAGGCGATGTTCCCAGAGTTTAGTAATGGAGGCTATAAACTGAGTAGTAAAATTTTAAGGTATTTGAAAATATGAATAGTCTTTGATTTAGAAGAGTCATAATGAATCAATCCAAACTTTCATTGACCAACAAAATTAGGTTATTTAAATTATATGTTCAAGAACGTGGGCTTTGTGGACTAGACTATACTATTTTAGTTTCTAGAATGTGAACTTCTTTGTTTTATGGCACTGATAAGAGGATTATTGCCTAAATAAAATATTCCGGGGAGAAAAATTCTTTTCTGATTGGCACTATTGAATATAAGCATACCTGGAATTCTTTTGTATTTCAGCTTCATGTCTTTAACTAATAAGAGAGAATGCAGATGCTCTCTCCCTGCCTGAAGGCACATCCGTTTGATCTGCGTGTCTGAGAAGTCTCACAGAGAAACGAACCACTGATAGTTTTTCAAGGGCACGTCTTTTAAAAGCAGTAGTGTTTATTAATTTGTTCATTCAGAAGACATCTGTGGGCCCACCCTGAGCCAGGCACTGTGCTAAGACAGGGCTCCGCAGTAGACTGTTACTATGGGGGGCGTAGGTCTTAAGACTTTCTAAGGAAATTCTTATTATGTGACCCTGCTCTGAGGCTTGTGGAGAGCAGTGTGGTGTATTTCAGCTCTGCATAGAGAGTTCCTGCGTTTAGAGAGCTTTGATGATAACTGTGAGGTTGCCCTGTCCGGGGATGAACTCTTACCACTATTTACTGCCTCTTACTGGGAATGTTAACGTTTTATGGCTAAGGAAAACAGTCTTAGTCAGAAAATGTTGAACAGAAGTGGTCCAGGTCTGTGCACTCAATAAATAATTGAGATGTTCATTCTAGATAAATGCAGGTAAATCAAAATCAATTTCAGTGTCAAATGATTGTTGGTAACTACCTTGAATTGTATGAAATCTCCAACATAAACCCAGTTCAGACAAAAGGGTGCCATCTACTGGCTGACCCGGAGCAGCTCACGTTCCGTGTTTTAGCTCACAGCTCCATCTGCTGGCCTAAAAGGGAACGTGCTGAGAATGCTTAAAGCAGAGGTCTTCAGTTTCTTAGAAATATTTTGGATTTACTCTTTGTTCATAGTTATTAGGGAATTTCGTTTCATATAGAACATGTAGGATATATCAGATATAAATATAAATTTGAATTTTACACAATAGTGTGTCATTTAATCAGAGGATTCGAAAAAGGAGAGTTAGTAGAAGCTATCTTGTCAGCAGACTAAAGCAGATAGGTGCACCCAGGCTTTACGATGGGGCCCTGCCTGCCTTCCTGTAGGAATCAGTACAGGTTCACCCTGGCATCGCCTCGCCAGCTCCACCCTGCTGACCAGCCTGTGGGCCAGCAAGCAAGGCCCGATTGCTCACTATGAGTTCATCAGTTACTTTGAATTATGGTATTTTATCACCTGATTATGACTGAGGCAGCATTAATTTTATCACAGTAACTTAACTGTGAAAAGAATGAACATTTACTATGGGTTTATGGTCCCCTGATGCAGCTGTGCAAAGGATCCTCGGAAACTGACACGTTCAGGCCAGGTGAGTGCTCACCATGGCAGTATGATTAGATTGTTTTATTAGGGCAGATGTTTTAAGTTTAGAGAATACAGCAGTTGAAATAAATATTCTTCAGGGAGTAAATAAGGATCTCTAGTGATACCAACTGGTGGTTCTCCAATTATCAAAGAAAAAACCCTGCCACCCACAGTTACTTACATAGTACTCAAGAGCAAGGACTTGTTAACTTTTTTACCTTTTATTATTCATAGGAGGTATTGATACTTGAAAGGATTTCTCAAGAGGTTGAGCATATTTACAGTTAGACTATCTTGTTTTTTTCTCCCCTTGGAAGGAAATACATTAGATGTATAAATAATTCCTAATTGCTATGATTGGAAACTTTCTAGCTTTTTATGCCTGTGGGCTCATGTTCAACATTTGTTTGAGGTGAGTGTGTCTCACAGTCCTGGTCAGAATCATCCATTGCTAGTGTTTACTGTGGCTTGGAAATAGAATATATTCATGATGCCTGGTAGAGTTAGAATTTACACACAGTTTACTGTTGTTAACCTCAAAGGAGCTAAAACCTCAATAGTAATAAAACCATGAACATTCTTAGTTATCGTGAAACACTTTAAATTGTTCAGAGATTTAAATGTAAAAATTAACTTGTAAATGGAGGAAGTTTTGTTTTGTTTGTTTTTACCATGGGATAAAAGGTGTTTGTTTTTATTTACATATTGGTGTTTATTTTTAAAGAAAAATATATTTAGGACCTATCTTTTTTAAAACAAAGATGGCTTTTTTTTTGTAAAAATACATACTCCTTGTTTTAAAAAAAAATCTGTAGAAAGTACAAAAAAGGAAACAAAAGGCACCAGAAACCTACTGAGTTGTAATCACTTATTACAGTAGAAACATCCCGTCAGAGCTTCTTCTATAGGAGTATTCATATAACTATGTAAATGTTGCTTATTGTACTACTCTGGAACCTTTTTTCACTGAATAGTCATGGGAACGTCTTTGCACGGGAGAGTATATAAATCTCCATCACTTTTAATGGCTACATGGTACTCTATTATAATTTACTTAATCAGTCTCCTGCCAGTAGCATTTAGATTGTAATTTTTCACTATTAAACACCATAGTGAGCCTCTGTAGACTTACATCTTTTTGTGCTTTTTTTGCTCAAGAAATTTATACTAAAGACAGAAGATGTTATTGTTGAATCAGATGTTTTTGATATCTGTTGCTAAGTGGAAAGTTTATACAATTTAGAAGATATCAACAATGCAAAAAAGTTTCCCAGCGCCCTTGCTGTTAGTGGCTTCTGTTACTCTGAAATGTCTGCCAGTCCGATAGATGGAAGATGATCCCTCACTTCCTTTCCTGCGGCTCTCTGAGACCCTGCTGCTGTAAAGGCTTTCATGGAAATAATCCGGGACTGGAGTCCGCCTGCCTCTCCAGCCCAGTCTTCCGTCCTCATCTGCTTCCTTCTCAAGAGTCCAGGCCTCCTTTTCTTTAAAAAGCAAAAAGTAAAACATGTAAAGAAAACTCATGTTAAGTATTTCTCTAAAAATTGGCATCTGACTTTCCTATTCTAAGAAAGATCCTGAAAAGTAATATTATACCTTTCTGCTAGGACAATATTGGATGCACGTAAATAAAATTTTCTTTCTCCAGCTCTTTTTTGTAGCCACTGCTAGGTATACTTTCTATGTTAACATGTAGGCTTATTTCTTAATTACTTTATGACCAGCTTTGAGGGTTTGTGCTAGTTACAGTCAAATCTTCCTTTGGAGTTTTTGCTAATTTCAGTTTTACCAACATTCTGATGTATCTCGTATTAAGTACAATTTTTTCTACACTGTCTTTTCTCATTCATCTCAAATGAAACAAATTGTAAGTGAATGTTTGAACCCCATATGTAAATAAAACTATGGAAAAGCTTAGAAGTTTTTAACTTCAAGATATCTAAGAAGGAAATAGACTTTATGCTATATACTGTCATTGGCTTAGGTCACAGATTAAAAACAAATCTGAGTCTCCCGGTAAATTGTTTAATGATAGCCACTTGTGAGTGATCTGCAGGAGTCTGAAAGCGGCCGGAACATTTCCCTTCTGCGTTCTTGCCTGATCCGGTTTCAGTGCTTCCAGAGACCTCTACCAGCGTCTGCCCCCAGGAAGCAAGCTTCGCTTTCTTATTCTGATCACCATACGTCAGCAGACCCAGCCTCGCTCCCTCGACCTGTAGTCCTCACTAGAACCCCAGAACACAGAGTCGTCCTATCTTGCAGGGATAGTTCGCCTGTCAGGCTCCCAGGCCTTCAAACAGCTTAAGCATAGCAGAATATTTTCCTAGAATCATTTGTGAGTTAATTGGAAGTGGCACTGTGCATCAGTTAAATTCGGGTCTGAGGTGACAAGAACATCTCTATAACCCTTATTTCTCATTCCACTGCAGCTCTAATGGGCTTGGCGTCCAGGTGGGGAGGAGCAATCCATGCAAATATGGAGGAGCAATTTGGTGACAGAGAGGCCAAATCGCAGGGACTTGCTCAGTTTAGAACGGAGATAATGATCAATGTACTTTTTAAGGGGGCAGGGGGAGAGAATCAGCTTTTTTGGCACATTGCCAAGATACCTCTTTAAAAACCCACCAGTTTCCTTTTATAAGTAAAATAGGGCCCCAAGCATTTTATAAAGTGGGAATGTGCAACAATTATGAGGAAAGATAAGCTCTGCCATAAAAGCCTGCTTGTTCAAGGCCTGACACAAATCAGGCTTAATCACCTCAAGAATGTTCCCAGCCTTACTTCACTGGAGGAGAAGTATCCTTGTTTTCACTTGGGTTCTCTCTTCCTCTGTCCTTGTTTCTCATACTGAGCATAGAAAATTGGACTCACGTGAGCAGCTCTCTAAAAGCATTGTGAAGTGAAGACCTGATAGCATATGCTTTCCCCTTAAGCTTTGTTTAAAAGGTGCCTATTATTGGCTAGTCACTTAGGAATATCTAAAATTCTGTGGAAAAATTATTATATGTGTATGTTGATATATTTATATATATTATTATTCATTTGCCAGTATATCAGAAAACAGTGTTCTCTCAAATTGAATTTTTCTGACAAATATTTCTAACAATTTCAGGAAGAAATCTTATTTTTTTAATGTGCTATAAACATATATATATATATCTTTCCACAATGTAAATTATGCTGAACATAATTTCGCTTTTTCTTGATGACTCAGATGTATCAGTTATTGTTTGCCTCTTGTGCTATTAGATGCTGGGCTTTTTATAGTTCTTTCTTCTTCTTTTTGGTAATTTTTCTTGTTCCTAGTTTGGCTCTTATTTTCTGCTTCCCACTCTCCCATTTACTTCTGAAAGGCTGCTGCTTTATTTTACACACAGTTATAATGAGGTTCCTTCCTTTGCCTTTATATTTTCTCCTTCACAGGCTTCATCCACATGCAGAAGGCTGCCAGGGCTGTGTCTCCAGCCCAGACCCCTGAGCTCCTTGCTCATAGGCCCACTTGTGGACACTGATGCTCGGATGTCCTGCAGGCATCACGTGTGTTCCCACCTGAACCGTCATTTACCCCCCACCCTGTCCCCACCCCACAGCCTGCTCCTGGATCACTAACAGTGAATGGCAGCATCATCCACAGAGCCGCCCAGACAGAAAAGCTGGATCCTCTTCATGACCGCACTCTTTCTCACCCCCGGATCTAATCAATCATCAAGTCTTACTCTCCCTGACCCCTACAGCCACTGTAGTTGGGGCACCTTCCTGCCCCAAGATTATCACAATTTTTTATCACAGTATTATTATCACGAGATGATCACAATCACTCCTTCTCCCAGCCTCCCCTTGCCTCTGTACAGTCCTCTCTCCACACGACTGCAAGAGTGCTCTGGCCTTCGTCTTCCGCAGACCTCGTCTTCCCTCTCCCTGCATCTCCCCCACTCCCTCTGCCTTTCTGCATGTCACCGTGGGTGAAGGGTCCACGGTGCTCCCAGAGGCCCACCCCTGCCCCTGGGCATTCAGTCCTACCCCCGGTATCTGCCCACGGACCTGGCTCCCGTGCTTTCCTCAGCCTTTGCTGATGTCAGCTTTTCCCTGTGCTGCAGCATGTACGGACGTGCTCTAGTTTCTCCCACCTCTCAAAGTTCTCTCGATATTTCTCATCCTCCTCCGGCTACCAGCTCATCTGTCTGCTTCTCTTCATAGAAAAGATTTCCTGAAAGAGATGCCTGTGGTCACTGTCTCCACTTGCTCCCCTTTCTCTCCTCACTGCAGCTTCTTTCCCAGCACCCCCTGAAACTGCTAGTTTCAGGTCGCCAGTGCTACTTGTTGCCAGATCCCGGTCTTATCTTTATCCTTCTGTTACTTCACCTCTCAGCAGTGTTTGACACAGCTGAGCATTCTCCCCGCCATGAAACACTGGGTTTTGGCTTTTAGTCCCCTCAACCTCACTGGCCATTGTTGCCTGTCTCCTTTGCTGGCTCCTCCCCGGGCAGACCTCTAAACGCCAGAGTGCCCAGTGCTTCATACTTAGACTCTCCTGGTCTCCACCTGTCTCACTCCCTCGGGGCTCTCATCTAGTCCCTGGCATTTTAAAACAATCTGGACAATCTGATGATGTCCCAGTGTATAGCTCCAGCCTGGCCTTCAGATTTGCCTCGCAACTGCATGTTATACAGCTTCACTTGTGTGTCTTCCAGGCGTGTCGGTGGCCCATGTCCTAACCAGAGCTCTTGGTTCCTCACCTCCGCCGCAACTTGCTCCTCCCTTAGGCTTTCCCATTTCAGTAAATGCCACTGTCATCCCCCGAGTTGTTCAAGCCAAAAACCCGGCAGAAAATCATCTTAGACTCTCGGTTCCCTTCATTCCGTTCGTCTAATCCCGAGCAAGTCCTGCTTGTTAGCTCTGCGGCTAAACACCGCCCGGCTCCTCTCAGCCCTCTCCACCTCCATTCATCTTCTGCTGTTGAAACAGTTTCCTGTCTAATATCCTGGCCTCTTCTTTACTTCCCCTAGAATGTTTTCTCCACACGGCAGCTGAAGATATTTTTAAAATGTAAGTCAGATCTTGTCACTCCTTTATTTAAAACCCAGTGGCTCTGGCTGAAGAAGTCTGACAAGATGTGGCCCCACCTACCTGGCTGACCTCATCTTGAACTACCACAGTCCCCCTCCCATGCCAATCCCCACCCTACCTCACCCGGCCACACCCCCTGGCCTTGTTCCCTCAGCACTCCAGGCTTATTCCTACTTTGGGCCTTCTAGCTTTGCCCAGGAAACTCCTCCCCAGATGGTCACATGGCTGGCTCTGTGGTGGCATCCAGAGTTTCACCCCAAACTGATTTCACCTCCTCAGAGAAGCTTCCCCAGGCCATCTGGTCTAAAATAAAGTAGCCTCTTGACTCCCACCACTCCATTCCTCTCTGACATTATCCTATTTTCTTTTCTTTGCAGTGCTATTGCAAAATGAAATTATATTGACCATTTTCATGTTTTATTGTCTTTGCAAAAAGAGTATAAATTTTGAGAGAGTCAAGACCTCATTTATCTGGTCCCTTGTAGCCGCAGCTCCTGCAGCAGTGCCCAGCGCAGAGGAGGTGTTTGGTGAGCATCTCGTGGAGGGAATCTGACCGCTCTGCTTCTGCCATTTCAGTGGCTCCCTCTTCCCTTGAGAAGAGAGTCCAAGCTCCCGAAATGGTTTGAGTCCCTCTGGGATCTGGCCCCTGCTTGTTATTTAACTCACTGGGTCTCAGCGGGGGACAATTTTGACCACCCCTCTTCCCAGAAGAAAGATATTTGGTGATGTCTGGAGACATTTTGCCTGTCATAACTGCCGGGGTGCTGCTGGCATCTGGTAGAGGCCAGGGATGCTGCTGAGCATCTGACAACGCCTAGACAGCCCCCACAAAGAATGATCTGGTCCCGAATGTCAGTGGTGCTACAGTTGAGAGTTGAGCCATTTCTCTCATAAGCCTTGTCACACTCAGAGTCCCAGCCATGTGGAAAGGCCCTGTTCTTCCTAGCCTCTGAGCCTTGTCCTTGCTGATCCCCCACCCGGAGCCCTCCTTCCTCTGCCTGCTGTTCCCCGCTGCTGACTCTCTTCTCTGCCTCCACGGAGTCCTGAGGCAGATTGACTTTGAACCTTTACAACATGGAGTTAATCTGTTTTGGCAGTTTGGGGTTTATACAGATAACTTATGTTTCTACCTCAAATTGAAAGTAACTTCCATACACAAATGTATTTTTCATGTCAATTTTTTAGATGAATAAAGCTGCTGTTACTGAGGACTACAGCATGACTTCCATTAATCCAATCGCAGAGAGTGAATGGGGTGAATTAGTAAAACCACCTATGCAGTGAGAGCCTGTAGCCGTAGCGTTAAACTGTCTCAGTTATTATGATTTGGGCTGTTTAAACACGAACTAATGAATTTTAATCTTTTTGTTTTTCCTGTTTTCTCCCACATTAAAGTATTTGCTTTTCTTCCTGTTCAATGATTAATACATGCAGCTATTTTACAGTGCATGCAAACTATGTGATGCCTTTAAAGAACAAAAATGAGATTTGAGGGATTTATTGGGAGAATTTGCCAATTCATTGTTCTCACATTCGAATACCATAAATAGGAAGTTGATCACAGTGTTGCTTTTTGGATTGACATTCTGCCCTTAGCCTTCTCAGGAGACAAACCTTTGTGGCCCTGCATTGTCCTTCCCCAGCATTCCCAGTATTGGTGACAAAGGACGGTACTTCCAGATGCTGGGATTTGTAAAGGTCCCCACACAGGATTACAAAGTCATAGAGATTTTAATATCTATGAGCAATAGAATCACAGCTCACTAAATTGTTTTAAAACTACAATTTGCATTTTATGAATTTTAAATCACAAAGAAGACTTTTAAAATAATTGTGTTCAGGGGCCGGCCCGGTGGCGCAGTGGTTAAGTTCGCACGTTCCACTTCTCACCGGCCCGGGGTTCTCTGGTTCAGATCCTGGGTGTGGACATGGCACCGCTTGGCAAAAGCCATGCTGTGGTAGGTGTCCCACATATAAAGTAGAGGAAGATGGGCTGAGTGTTAGCTCAGGGCCAGTCTTCCTCAGCAAAAAGAGGAGGATTGGCAGTAGTTAGCTCAGGGCCAGTCTTCCTCAAAAGAACAAAGAAAAAAAACAAATAAAATAATTGTGTTCATATAATGCTCTCCTTGCATGCTAGTGAGTTTATAGCTTATCATATTATTAACACTGCTTTCATTGCATCTTCTTTTTTTCAAATCAAGGGTTTCATGCACTGATTATTTTTTAAAAGCTTTCCAAAAAACAAAACAGTTTAAATAACTTTAAAGGATAAAACTATTCTTTCTACCATTGCATATTTGTTTTCCTGGGTTTCTTGCACTGTAGAATTATCTTTTTGTTTGTTTTTTTTTGCTATGTTCTAACTTGGTAAAGGTAGATATTGGCTTTGGAATAGTTAAACTTTTAGCTTATCCATAGCTCTATCTGAAATTTATGCATCAGCCTTGCTAATAAACTCCAACCAGGCACCTACACGTTTTCCTTTGTTCAGAACTCCAGCTCCAGGTGGATTCTCCAGGCCTGCCTTTCGGTCTCTCTCACCGTTTAGCCCTCCAGCCTTACTTAACTCGGTTCTACAGTTATTTACTCACACTTTTCTACCACGAACATTTACTGAATCCTTGCTCACTTCCCAAGCTGTGTTCTAAAGGATAGGGATATGCTGGGAAATAAAAGGTGATCCCTTTGGAGTAACAAATTCGTAATTATATTTAATTGTGGGTGATAAATCCTATAATAGAGGTACAAAGTACACTGGTGGCATAGGGTTTTTAAAAAGTCAGTTTTTCTGGGGTGATTGTAGAAGTCTTAGGAGAGGATGGAATATCTGAACTGGACTCCTAGATAGAAAAAGGGCAGGGGGGCCTGGGGCTGAGAGTCCAGGTGGAAGGAGTAGAATGACTTGGTTGCGGCCACGCTTGGTCCAGAGACCTGCTAGTCATCTTCATTTCCTGTTTCCTCCCTCCTAAGTAGTGTAACCAAAAGTATTCTGGCATAAATCTGCCATCGGGTGCAATATTATACTGCATTTTGAATAGATAATTTGAGATAGGTTTTCTAATCAAAGGAATAATGAGCCACCTAAGATAGAAGGTCATTAGGGAGCTGTCTGGCTATATTTGGCTTTTCACATCTTGGGGTAGACCTCAATCTGCTCTGGAGTCATGAACATCTCTTCGTCTTTCTCAGTTCTCTCCTTCTTACCTCAAGACTTACTGTAAATAAAAAGCTGCTTTGTTTGAGGTATTTTTATTTTGAAGAGTTATTTTTCTCAAAATTGATTTAGTTGTAGCCAAGGGTTTGAAAAACTGAAGAGGCAGCTATCATGGAGATTGTATTTCTGAAGTGGTTGAAACTCTAGAAGGAAAATTACTGTAGAAAGAAGCCATCTAGCTAAGAGTCTTTATGCCCTTGAATTTCATCCTCAAGAACACTTACCTTGGAAAATAAGTCAAAGGAAGCAACAGAGGAAGAAGGTGGGAACAGGCATCAGGCCGAAACATTTCAAGTCACGACTGGGATAAAAGAAATGATAGCTATCAAAGTTAGTCTTTTGAAAGGATCCTCTATTAAACAAAGAACATTTTAAAAATTCTAGTTTTTAATTTGAAAAATGGGTACCATAAATCTGACCAGCAGAATGGAGAGAACTCATGCCTGTGGCGCTGTCATCATTTCGTGAGTCACAGAGCTTGTGGCTCCGCTCCATCTACGCAGGGTGCCTGGTGCCTGCTGGAGCGCCAGGGCATCACACTGGAGTGGGACTGCCAAGCGCCACTACTTGCCACACTTGCCCACCCCTCACCGACTCCTTTGCTTGTTGTTCCTCTCTTCCTGGACTGCATTTCAGAGGCAGGAAGAGTACGAATGGCTTTTCAAGTTCTGATTATAAAATGTTCATTTGGTCAAGATAGCAGTATTCTGAAACTGAAAATTTTTTTTTTTTTGCTGACTGTGAGGGGGCTGCATGTACCAAGAGCCCCACTAGGGGAGAGCATATTGCTCTCTTAGAAGGAAAGGAGAGCTTTGAGGATTCATTACATGGTCAGAACTCTGTTTATAATTGGGGAGAAAGTGCCATTATTTTTATTTGGACTTTTGTAATTAATTGGGTTTATTAGGGTATATATTTCATCAGTTGAAAAGTTTTTGTTTCCTTAAAGACTTGAAAGAGGGGCTGGCCCCATGGCCTAGTGGTTAAGTTTGACACACTCCACTTCGGCAGCCCGGGTTCAGTTCCCAGGTGTCGACCTACGCCACTTATTGACAGCCATGCTGTGGTGGCAACCCATACACAAAATAGAGGAAGATTGGCACAGGTGTTAGATCAGGGTGAATCTTCCTCAGCAAGAAAAAGAAAACTTGAAAGTTCATAAGACTGACCAGAGAAATGCAGAGGAAGGTGAGATATACTGATGTTATGTTGTACAAGCTAATATTTTACTGCTTTAATCAATAATCTGATTTGTGTGTTGGTCAAAATTTGTCATTTTAAGGACATTTAAGACACAGTCATGCACCACATAACAACATTTCGGTCAACACCAGACCACATAGATAAGGTGCTCCTATGAGATTAGTACCATATAGCCTAGTGTGTAGTAGGCTATGTACCATCTAGGTTTGTGTAAGTACACTCTGTGATGTCTGCACAACCATGATCACCTAACAAGCATTTCTCAGAATGTCTCTGTCATTGAGCAACATGTGACTGTGTCTTCATTTCAACAGAAGGCTGCATCGCCACCTTTCTGCTTGAGAGGTCGTTTTTAATCAGGCCTCTCAATCATGAGCTTTCCTTTGGCATGAGAAAGTAGTAACAGCCTCTCCGTGTGTTTCCACTGTTGGACTAGCTCACCGTCAGCCCCTTCCCCTTGCCGTCAACCTCCTGTGACTTCCCCACACTTGTGGGTCATGGTAGTGACTGGCATAAAAAGCAATGAAATCCTTTCCAAATAGAAGGTTCTCAAACGGGATGCAACATAAAACAGAAGCCCCACTTCCCCAGGATGCAGGGAGACGGTGCAGGAGGCCATTGGGAAACAGAGCACACACGGCTTCTTCCCAGCAGGGATACAGTTCGGAAAATTTAACCTTATTTTCCTCTGTACTTAATGGAAGTATTTTTACTTGGCATTATGTAGTAAAAATAGAAAATCAATAATCTCAGGGATCTGGGTTGGCCCATGACACATGTTAAATATTGAAGAGAATTTGTGATTGTAAAACTTTAACTCCAGAATTCATTTGCTAGAGAAGCCCTTTTACTACCCCAGGCTGGTCAGACAGGAGACGGACCTCGTGGAGCCCCTTGCGAGGCCACGCGAGCTGGGCCCGCCGTACGCAGCCGCAGTAGTGCGCTGGGGGTTGCGGCCGAAGTCCCTGGCCTCGCGCAGACGCAGTAGCTGGCCGCGGGGCCGTCCAAAGTTCCCGGCCTCGCGCAGACGCAGTAGCGGGCTGAGGAGGCGGCCAACGGTCGCGGGCTCCCTGTCTTCGCGCCTCGGAGTGTGCGTGTCGCCTTCCCCTTTCCCTCCCAGCGCCGGTTCAGTGAGTGGCCATGAGCTGGGCTGTGGGCGTCCTGCGGGCCGGCCGGAGCGTGAACGCTGCGAGAGCGAGTTTCCTGTCCCCCAGGATGGCGCCGTGTCCCCGCCAGGCGGCAGGCGGCTCTCCCGTGGCCAAGGTGGCGACCGTCCAGCGTGAGCTGCTGGAGCCCTTCTCGTCGGAGGAGGCCGTGCGCCGCAGCAAGGTCTCGGTGGTGGGCACCGGCGCGGTGGGCATGGCCTGTGCCGTGAGCATCCTGTTGAAGGGCCTGAGTGACGAGCTCGCCCTGGTGGACCTCGACGAGGGCCGGCTGCGGGGGGAGACGATGGACCTTCAGCACGGCAGCCCCTTCCTGAGGATGCCGCACATCGTGGCCAGCAAGGACTACGTCGTCACCGCCAACTCCAGCCTCGTGATTGTCACCGCAGGCGCGCGCCAGGAGAAGGGCGAGTCACGCCTCAATTTAGTCCAGCGAAACGTGAGCATCTTTAAGTTGGTCATTTCCAACGTTATCCGCTACAGCCCTGGCTGCAAACTGATTGTCGTGTCCAATCCGGTGGACATCTTAAGTTACGTAGCCTGGAAGTTGAGCGAATTTCCCCAGAACCGCGTCATCGGGAGCGGTTGCAACCTGGATACCGCCCGTTTCCGCTTCTTGATTGGGCAGAGGCTTGGCGTCCACCCCGAGAGCTGTCACGGCTGGGTCCTGGGGGAGCACGGGGACTCCAGCGTTCCCGTGTGGAGCGGCGTGAACGTCGCCGGTGTCTCCCTGAGGGGTCTGAACACCCGCTGTGGGGACCGACCGAGACCCCGAGCAGTGGAGAGACGTCCACCGCGACGTGATCGCCAGCGCCTACGAGATCATCAAAAGGAAGGGCTACACGTCCTGGGCCATCGGGCTGTCGGTGGCCGACCTGTCCGAGAGCATCCTGAGGGATCTGCGGAGAGTGCACCCCGTCTCCACCGTGGTCAAGGGCCTCTACGGAATCACGGAGGAGGTGTTCCTCAGCGTCCCCTGTGTCCTGGGCGAGCGCGGCATCACCGACCTCGTGAAGGTGAAGCTGACGCCTGAGGAGGAGGCGCGTCTGAAGAAGAGCGCGGAGACGCTCTGGGAAGTTCAGGAGGCGCTCGAGCTGTGAAGTTGTGCGGAGCCGCCCTTCTGAAGTTACTGAAGAAGTAGTAGTAGTTGGGGGGGGTATGTGTCACATTTTTAATAAACCTGAATTTATAAAAGTTGGAAACAGGAAGGGGGGTAGAGTGACTCTCCTGTTTGTTTAGCCCCCAGCTCTTCTATTGAGCATCGAGATGCTGGATGATACTTATTTTTTTTACAATTCCGAAGTGCATCAAAGGAGGTGTTTTTGTACCACTGATGTGCCAGTACTTTGTACATGTATGTAGTTGCCATTGGGCCCAAAAGAATGGAGGATGTAGGTGTTTCTTTTACCATAGAAATTCTGGTTCTTTTCATTAAGCACCTGTTAACTCTTTGTTCTGGCTGGATTATACCTATGTTCGCTTGTGTACTCTTTGTTACAAGTGGAAGCTTCTGTGCAGTGTAAAAATAAATGTACACGCAGTTACTTTTCGTAATGGAGCCTTCATTTCCCGGTGACAGCCCCTCACCTGGGCCTTGAAAAAGGTGGCAGAAAGGGAGCTGCAAGTGGGGGAGGCGTGTGTGCGTGGATGTGCACACACTCATGCACACATACGAGTGAAGCAGGATCATTAGGCTAAAATGTGAAAATAATACTGATCTGGTTGGTGGCTGTTTTAAACTGTTTCGTGCAGTAAAAATACAAGCGTTTAGAAAGATGCCTGACAGTCAGAGGTGGTACAGTTACTGTCGTTTTGGCAGAGAAAGGAAATGTCCCCAAATTTTGCAGTTACTAAAAATAAAGACTGAGTGAAATCATCGTAGAACCACCTCTGAGAACCTGACCTGTTGGCACATTAAGTCAAGAATCACATAATTGCTCTTATTGGGCTGGGTCTTAGCGGCACAGTGGGCCCTGGCCCTAAGGTGCTCCAGGGTCGTCCCTGTTGCTCAGTTTACTTCACGTCAACAGAAAGCGTTTGCTTTTGAATTGTGCCCTGTTGTTAATCACTGTCATCAAAATTGGCCATTTTAATGAGTGCTTGAGGGCTTGTATTTCTCAGAAAGTTACGCATTCACTTTTTATTCCTAAGTCGATTGACTTTACTGCAGATTCTAGACTTTATGCACGTGGTACAGTGAGGGAGAAAGTGAAGGTGCTTGTCTGAGTTTTACCTAAATGGTAATTCTGTAACTTAGAAAATGAGAAGCTGAGATTTTTAAATTCATGTTAGCCTTCCTAATGCAGTTGACTATTAAATAAATAATACAGTGTGTTCAAACACATCTCAGGATCCATGGGAATGTCAACAGGCCTAATCACAATTGACAGGTGCCAGCATCTGCTAAGTTCAGCCAGTCCTGCTTAGCTGAATGTTATCAAGGAGACAGGACAGCAGTCCACCCACAAGAAGACCCTTTTCCATGCTGACCAGAGCTCCCGTACTATTTCATTGAAAACATTTAGAAGCTGGGGCTGGCCCCGTGGCCGAGTGGTTAAGTTCGCGCGCTCCGCTGCAGGCGGCCCAGTGTTTCGTCGGTTCGAATCCTGGGCGCGGACATGGCACTGCTCGTCAGACCACGCTGAGGCAGCGTCCCACATGCCACAACTAGAGGAACCCACAATGAAGAATACACAACTATGTACCGGGGGGCTTTGGGGAGAAAAAGGAAAAAATAAAATCTTAAAAAAAAAAAAAAAAAGAAAACATTTAGAAGCTGTTCTGATTACTCAGGAAGCAATGTCATATAATGGGACTGATTGGTATGCGGAGCTCCCTGAAAGTGGGAAGAGTGGTGGTTTGGTTGTTCCAGGTGGTTCTAAGCACTTTTTAAGCTGAACTACACAGAGTTCCTCTTCCCCTTTGTCCAACCCTTGAGTTTTTATTCAGCCATGTTTCAGCCAAATTCAGTGTAATATTGAAGGGGGTCTGACTATGCCTTATGTCTATTTTGTAATTCTCTTCACCGTCAGTGTCAGTCGGGATAGGCCGGGTTATGCAACAGTAAAAAAACAATCTCCAGATGTGTGGCTTAAAACAGCAAAGCTTGATTTCTCTGGTAAATCCATTATGGGTTTACGCCACTCTCTAGGGACGCTGTCCTCCGCAAGCTGGCTCTGTACCTCATGTTGCTCTGATGTTGATGTCCCACATGATTGCTATGGAAAGGGAAGAGAGGCTGGGAGAATCAAACACCTGCATTCTGGAAGTGATGCCCCTTTCTTTTGCTCACATTTCATTAGCCAGAACTAGCCATGTAGTTACCTGACTTCAAAAGAGTGGAGAAGTATAACCCCCGTATCCAGAAGTAGATGAGTACTGGCTACTGGGGGATGTGGGTAATAATCTGCCAGTCCATTCTAAATAAAATGGCCACCATTGCAAGAGAGATATATTATAGCTTTTAAAGTCACTTTTAGTGAAAGCTGGTAGATGAGGAGAGGTTATAGAGATACTGTGTTTTTCCAGGTCACACAACCAGAGTGGCCATGTGTGGGGACAGAACCCTGGACAGAGCCTTATAAACCCTGTCACCATGGATGGGTTAACCTCTCTGACCTCGGGTCCCTCACTTGTAAATGGTAGTCCTCATTTCTGCCACATGGACTTGTGAAGACTAAATAATAGCCTAAAGCTTAGTACAGTGCCTGGCACATAGGTGATCTGAAAAGGCATTATTACTCCTGTTCAGGTAACGATTATAGTCTTATTCTTTTATTTTATGAAAAGCTGAATTTTCAGGTTCTTCAAAATTCCTGCTGGCGCTGTAATTATTGATATATCCAGAAGCCTTCTCATCAGTCGGTCCCATAGAGCTTTCATCATTCTAACCCAGCACCAAAGCTGCCGGCAGACCTGCACCTGCCAGTGAGGAAATTGAAGCCAAATGAGCTAGTCAATGGCAAAGACGTTTTAAGACTTGGAGCTTTTAATTCCAATAACTGCCTATTTATTAGAATAGATGCTGTAAGGCTTTTCTCAGATTAATTAAATTAAGGACATATCCTGAGCTTTTAAGTAATTTTTCAGCATACCATATATTAGACCAAAAGTTTTCATGTTTTTTCCCCTGCCAAGACACGCATGGTAAGTGTGCAGCAATATCTCCCATGTTTCACTCCTGGCATACTGGCTACGTGGCCCTTCACAGGGCTGTTGCAGTGTGAGTGAGAGTCAAATTATTGGAGACATAAGCTTGAATCTGTTCTAATATCTAAAAAGTCGGTCGTATTCAGTCTTCAGAATGTCCATATGAGTGACACATCACTTGTAATACCTTTCCCAGTTGTCATGATGCGCTATTTGAGAACCGCTGCCTTAGACAGTGCTACTTCCTGATGCTGTTACAGCCCAGCACGGTTGGGCACAAACATTGGGAGGTTCTTGGTGGGGCATTAAGGATGAGGTTCTTGGAGCAGTGGGCTCGGTGCCTAGGGAGTGCCATTCGTGTCTTAGTCTTCGTGGAGAGCAGCCGCTGGAGTTGTGCAGTACACAGTGGCCCTGTGACCCACAGCCCCGGAAAAACGCTCCCTGGTCGGAGGAAAGGGAGGAGGAGGAGCACTGCAGGGAAGAGACCCAGCGTTTGGAAGATGCTCGTTCCCAGCCTGCCCCATCTTCACCAAACTTTTGGGGTACAGGGTAGGGGGATGGCTCTGTGGCAACAGCTGTGATTGTTAGCATGGAATTCAGTACATTTATTTTATAACCAAATTTGCTTAGACATACTCCACTGCTAAATCTTTCTGCAAGCTCATTTTTAAGCAGGAAAATGTTCTGTTGGCCTGTGATAGAGTATCACTAAGACCAACACCTCTGAACTGCAGATCAGAAATTGACACAGGTGAAAAAAACCAAAGGTTTTCATTTCCTATCCCTATAACATAAATTGTACAAGCTTAAAAACCTTCTATGGAGCCCCATTGTTTAATGCAACTTGAGGCCCTGTTGATAACAGTGTAGACTTTGCATTTCCATTTCCACAGCTGTGAAATTACAGAAGAGGGCTACGTGGTGGTCTTTATCCCACTTACCTCCCTTCCTTTACCTTGCTCTGAAGCCTGTCTGTTCTGAGTTGGCTATTTTTCAGATAAGGTCCCTTCTAGTGGTTCACTTACTTACTTATGACACTAGGAACAAGTAAATAATACAATACTTGGGAAATGAGAGGGGGAAAAAATTGGGCCAAGAAGAGGAAATGGGAAGACAACCCCCCGTCCTGAAGTAAGAGCAGGCACCCTTTCCTCTCCTACCCAGGCCTCGTCTGCATTTCCCAGCCTCTCCCTTCTCAGTGACTAACCATGTTCTATGTCACTGAGAAGGCAGAATGCTAAATGGTTCTGTCCATGACCTGGCTATCTGACACCCCACTTGAAAACTCTGTGCTTAGGCTTAGTTGTAACAGATGTTCAACCAGAAAAGTGAAGCGAGAGAACCAGGCAGCACATTGCACACCCTGGCCAGGGATGTCTGTTGGTCAACTGAGAAAGTCTGTGCATGGTTCCTCAAGTCAAAGCATTTCTTTTTGTGGGCCATCCTAGACGTTTAGCATTTGTTCTCTCCCCGCCCCCACCCCCCCAAATGCAACCAGTGGTCGTGACCACCAAGTTGGCATGACACTCTATTTGAGAACTGCTATTTGGAACTGCATGACCAGTCCCTCCCCAGGGATGCAGTTCTGCCTGGGGTTGAGAACCTCTCATGAAGGGGTCATCACAGTACCAACTACAGAGCTGCATGGAGGAGGGGGTTGGGGAGAGACATGTGCCGTGGACACGTGTGTCGTCAAGATTGGTGTCTGAGACCCAAACGTTGAGATGGTTGGCATGGACCTCCTACAGACTACATATAATGGGTAACCATATGTCTCTGCCAGTGTTAGAATATTTAAACCCAAGTGATATGTAACTATAATGCTTTAACAAATATACTATAATATTTACATCCTTATAAGCTTTGTTCTTGGAACACAACACATATTTTGATGATGCTGTGATGACAATAGCTGATGTATATTGAGCACTCCCGTGTGTTAGGTGCTGTGCTTTATATGCATTATCTCACTTAATCCTTACAACTCTGTAAGCAGGTAGTTATCTCCATTCTACACACGTGGAAACTACCACTTAGAATAAGCAGCTTTCCGAAGTAGTGGAGTTAGAATTTGAACAGAGAGGTTCTCTGATACCCAGAATCTGTGCTGCTAACAGCAGCGCTACGATGACTGGATAAATGCCTAGGAATTTACAAGTCCCAAAAAGATTTCCCAATTTGGAAACAAGGTAATGATTCAGCTTCAAATTGAAATAAGTAGGAATCAATATAAAAGAAAGATTAGCCAACTCTCCAATTAACCACTCCAGAGATGACTTGGATGTTGCTGATGAATCCAGGGTGCTTCACAAATTTGACTGAGGATAGCTGCATCCTTGAGCTATATGGCTGAGATGTGGCTCATGAGAACATTGTCTCTGTGCTGTAGTGCTTC